ACACGTTTATTTTATTGTTTTAAAACAAAATAATGCAACATGTTTTTGCAGATTTATAATTAACGGTCATCAAGGGCCCATCGAGTAAAATTTAAAGAAAATCGAGGATGTTGATTTTTTTTAATTGCCGCTCAAAAATCGCACAATTTTGACTTTTTCGGTTTTGACGAAATTTTCGGCCGCAGTGCAGAAAACACTTTCGACAGTATAAGGCTAATTAATTTGTTAAAAGTTAAAAAAGCATGGAAAACTCGACACAAAAAGTTTCAGCTTTAGAACATAAATTTAAAGCGACTTAAAAATTCGCCGAAAAATGCCTCATTATGTAAGATTTTTTCCAGAAGTCAAGTTTAACATTTTATTTGGCTTGAAATATATGCTCAAATAAGTTAACTTTAACTAATTCTGATAGAAAAGTATGCTTGAATTAAACGTAAAAATTTTGACGGTGTAGAAAGCTGTATTGTTTATTCGTCCGGCCTTCAAATTTGCGTCATCGCGCAGTTTGGAAAATCGTTTTTTCAACCTCCTTTCGAATGCGATTTTTTTCACGAATACTATGAAGTATCTTGCAAAACTAAGGTCTGTCCCGTTGTGTGGACAGGATTCGCTACTTCCTATAAAAATTTTATTGAAAACAAAAAATAGGCATGACACCACCATGACCGTCCTGATCTGAACACACCCAACAACAGAATCGAACGCTGGGGCAAGACTGACTGCGGCTCGCCATGCGGAGCCCCTTATGTACATGCGTTGGCTGCTGAAACATTCCGCGTAGAAAGTTCGGCGGATAGAGCATTCGGACCAGAGTGTTCAGAACAAACGACAGGGTTCTCGAATTTACCAGAACATTAAACTGAAGCTATAAATAAAAGACGGGTAACTCCCAGGAATCGAACCCTGGGCCTTGCGCGAAAGTCAAGCGCGGTAACCACTCTGCCAGGCACGCGCTCGCTCGCCGAGGCACGTGGTAATATTTAGAGCTCCTTTTGACTCATTTGTGACTAGGTTTTTTAGCCTGCCTTGCGTCCAGTTTTGAATAGGTGCCTGCAAATCATTTCCGGAATCGGTAAAGTTACTCCCAGGTTCAATGTAGCGGTTGTGTCCTTCGCGCATTCAAAAATATGTTCTTGTGTTTCTCAAATTAAAACGCAGGACGAAACCGAGTTTAGACGAGGTAACACATCGTTGCAAATATGCTGCGTGTGCAGTTGTTGGTTTACAAAATACCTCTTTCCTGTGGCAAAATTTGGTAAGTCCATGATGGCAGGTCTCTTGAGCACTCGGTCTTTATGGACAGCTATATCGAAACACTATGCTACGCACTGCAATAAAATTAGCCGTTTCCCCCATTTGAATAATATTCAAATATTGGTAAACCAGATAAATATGAGGGCTTATCTTTCTTCATTACAGACCTCGTGTTTGTGTTCGTGTGAATTCAGCTAATATTACTGATGTTGGTTCCCATATTAACCAGCCTGAAAGTATTCTTTGGCGGTGCTGTAAGGAGTGTTTTGAGGGAGTCATGTCCTGCCCGGTTTCATGAAGCTTAATGTATTCGTTAAGATGAAGATTGTTGTATAAAAGCCAGTCAATTTAACTTTGAACTTCAAACTTCATAAAAACGAATTTCCGACGAGGAGTCCGAACAAAAGACTTCGATTCGGAAGCTAGAGGTTCCGTGTCCCTCCTCATAAAAACGCAATACAATATTACATAAAACAAGAATATAATCACCTGAACGATGACGGAGGCTTATTGCGGAGAAGGCGCCGTGTAACCGAGCTTTCGGTTGCACGTCAAAAGATTCCCAGGTGGTCGAAATTAATCCTCAGTCCTCCGCTGGGGCGTGCCAGATGCCCGTCGTAGGTTTGGCACGTAAAACCCCCAAATTTGATCACCTGAACGAAATAGGTGTAGACTGTTTTAGATAAAAAAAAGGAACATTGATGTGGGCGGAGAAGACGTTGTTAAGCAATGTCGGCAAGTTATGAAGTAGAGATTGACATACATCATTACAACAGAAATGGGGAAAGATCAAGGGTTTGTGCATTGGATAGTGATTATTGATCGACGTTTAGTCAAATTTGAAAAATCCCTATTGGAAAATCTGGATAAAGTATTATGACTGCGAAAGCATATGACGTAAGCATGATGGATGCAAAATGGATTCACCAAGATTAAGTCATCCCATCCATCATGATCCGTCACGGATCCACAATGCTTTACGTCACCCTAACCGTCATCAGTTGTCTCGTAATACGATACGTTACAATATACGTGAATGCCACTTTCGCCATCATGATTACGTTATCACATTTTTTAATGGAAATGAGACAACAAGCAACACACTCTACACTGAACAAAAAAAAAAACAAAAAAAAACATAATATACTGTATTCATAGCCACTGGAAACGTTCATAATATTGCCGCGCCCGCAGCTGGCCAAGCAGGCAGCGAGGCCGTCCCCTAACGGTTATCGTGCTTGCCTCCCACGCGAAAAGCAAGGGTTCGATTCCTGGGAGCGAATCGTCTTTTCTTTATTCTTCCAATTTAGTGTTATGGCACATTCGAGAACTCTGTTGCTTGTTCGAGGTACGAATTTTCTAGTCGTCGAACCTTCTCGGTTGATTGTTCAATAAGCCAGCGCTGGTATATAGGGGCTCCACGTGGCAGTCCGTAATCAGTCTCGCTCCAGCGATCGACTCTGCTGTTACGAGAAAGGCTAGCGCCTGAGACGCTACGCTCTCTCTATTTTTGTTTTTGTTTGGGCACAAGTTCGCCATATTAAACGTTTAGTTTCTTCATTTATTCGATGCCTCATCACTTGTCATTCGTAACATAAATATTAAAAAAGAATGGTTTGGTATGAGTGGCAGCGCTATGCGTGCGCATGCTTTCTACTTGTTGTTTTGCCTATTTTTTTGCTGTTTTATTTCTTCTGATCAGATCTGGCCTAACTAAGCCTTGATCTGCAGTTAAAACTGTAACCGCATACATAGAGCATCGGAAATATTATTTTCAATGATGCCTTTTGGTGCTCTTCTTCAATGTATTCGCTCCGCAATACGTGCCTAGTAATTTTCTTTGTGAACATAAAAAGATGTATAATAATGTGCTCTTGTTTTTTTCTCGATTATTTTGTTTTGTTGTTTTTTAACAGATGCTTTTTATTGCCTGTTGAGGCAGTGACGTACTGTGGCTGGGCCTCATCAAAGTGCACCTGCCTTTTGCCATTTATCTCAAAACTTTTGTATTCGAAGTAAAGACTGAAGTAAACAAACCGGTCATTACCTTCGCTGGCCCATCTACCACCTGCAATAATAACACAGACTGTACTCTATCAGTAAATTTTCTTCGAAATCTATGACTTTTGCTAAACGGCCGGCTGTAACAGCCGGTTGTAGCAGTCGGTTTTAATTTAAAAAAAACGACACCGAAAAGCGTTACGTCCATAGGGAACCATATAAAACGACTTCGCTCTCCGCATATTTTGAACTCACAGCATTGAGGTTTTGAGCCAAGTGCTTTACCGACTCAGCTATCCAGGTTTTCTTTTCTTAATTGTTGAGCTATCCAGGGTCAGTGGTAGCTAACACACAAAAGCGAACGCATTGGCGCGGCACTCAAAGGCACGGTCGCACGCTTCACGGCCTTTCCGGTTATGCTACGCCATCTCTGGGCGTGTGTCAGAAAGGGCAGCGAATATTAGGTAGGCGGTACTGTTCGGACGCCCTTCTCCTTTTGCCCAGTGGCCGTGGCCCATACAAAGCCACGAACGCCCTTAAAGGGGCCCTGCAAGGACTTTTTATTGTTTTTTTAATTTGCACCGAACCTGAGCGCACTGAACGTAGTAACTTAGTGAAACTTTTCTTTTCGCGAAATTCGCTTTATTTTAAAAGTTATAGGCAATTCAGAATTACAAAAACAAGCAAAAAATAACCTCCCTCATGACGTCGTAGGTCCTGACTTGAGTGGCCGTGAACTAGAGGAGGAATAGTGAGCTTATCGAGCGCTCACGGCCGCCACACTCCGTGTCGACGGCGCAAGAGGGCGCCACTAAAGCATGTTCTGGATAGGCTGTATGCAGCGGGCAGCCAAAGCGGCTTTAATTGCATTTGCTGCGTGATTAAACACTAATTCGGCATGACACTTCATTGGCCACGAACGACAGCAAACACGGGGTAAAGATCAGTTCAGAATGGGAGCCACTTCGCGCTGCCATACCGCGAAACGGCCAAACCGCAAGACAAAGCCTCTCGCCGAAGGCCTTCGGTACGCTCGGAGCCGGTCGGATCCTCCTGTCCATACGGCTGCAGCGCCACCGCGTACATCCGGTATTTTTTCGTGTCGGCGCCTTATCCCACTACTCCTTTCTTGTATGCGCCGCCTTTTCCACCGCTTGGCGGCGGGTATGCCGACGGGTCATTTCTTGTTTCCGTACTTTATAAACTGCATTTCTTTCTTTTTTTCATCTATAATAGTGAACAAAAACTACTTTTATAACTAATTGAAACGGTTCGCGCCACTTATATTTTGTATTTCGACCAAAAAGAAGTTTTTAGCGGCTCTGACCAGTAGTAAGCCCAGGACCAAAGACGTCACATTTTGCGCGCTTTCGGTACCGTGGGTCGCCCTCATCGGTGGAGGAGATTTCCGTGTCGTCCGGTTAAAATATGGCGCACTAATATTGAGTTACTCTCTCCGTGCCCGCTGGCTTGCCCGAACCCCAAGAGACGTGGAAACCGCAGAAAAGGTAGACGCTTAAATATGATTGCAGGGCCACTTTAAGTGGAAGGCATATCACACATTTTCTGCTTACCAATCTTTATAAGACTGATCAAGCTTGAATTTTTTGGAGTAGGCTTTACATGTTTCTTAATAAACAATGTTTCTTTTGGAGGTCCAGATCTTGCCTCAAACAAAGAAAGAGTTCATATTGTTCTTAATTAACTTAAGTTTCCATTAAATGATCGAAATTTTTGTTCAACAGAAGACGATGTTATCCAACAAATGCCAATTCCAGTGTTACGGAAAGGTGAAAAATTCCCCAGTTTCCTTCACTGAACGCTTCGTAGATGGAATGTCTTGTGGAACTGGAAGGGTAAGTTAAGTGGGCCTTTTTTGTCGTTGACGATCATTAATTTCCAAAAGTGATATCTTATGGCGAATTCCACGGTGCGTTTTGGAGCGCGCCGGGATCAGTACCAGATCCGGACTGGAGCACACGATCCGAACAGGGTCGCGCCGCCTACGGGTCCTTAGTGTAACATGACACTGCTCCGGGATCGGCGGATGCCTTCCCGTCATTCAACTGCCCGGGAATCCCCTTTCCGCGGCCGCCGCGGTCGTTTCGAAGACGTTTTCGCAATCGCGGCGCTAACACGTGTTCGACACACGAGCGACAGGAATGGCTCAGGCGCTTCTAGCAAGGATTGCCGGAATGCCCGTAGCGCGGCAAATAGCTTCTTCTTTCCTTCCTGGAAAACGAACCGGCTGTCGAGACCAGGGGTAAGCAAGCGGCCATTACGAATTCTTCTGATGTCGATACAATCTAGGAGCCCAGCCCGCGACGTGCTTCTTCTTCCTCTGAGGCGACATGGGCGAGATCAGGCCAGATGCCCCACGAGAGAGAAAGTCACGTGTGTGCGCCGACGGCTGGCCCGGCTGGCTTCCGGTTGAAGCCGCCGAAATCGTGGGAGCGACTTTTCTCGGATCCAGATCGAGATCTGGAGCGGGAGCTAATCCAAAACGACCAGTGAAACAGGCCTGTCTCGATCCCGATCGCCCAGTGAAATAGGCTCGCTCCAGAAAAGTCGATCCCGGCCCGCTCCAAAACGACCAGTGGAATTCGCCATTACACAAATTAAAGAGAGCTTACCTCATTTTGAGTAAGAAAGTTTTTTTTTCCGCATGATTCGAAACATCACTACTCTTTTGAACGCATTGTCGGCCTGTCCTCATGGGTCGCGCAGCCTAGTGACCAAGTGCATGCTCAAAAAAAAAAAAAAAAATAACGATTCGCGGTCAAGAGCATTGACCTTACTCAAACTTTGGTATGCCCCTAGAATCTCGCCCTCTACTCACGAATAGACTTGGATATCATTATTTTCTTAAATCAATATGCATGTGTCACTGGTCAAATTTTTGTAGTCCGAGTCTGGTTCTACTGAACGGAGAGGAATAGGACATACACAGAAGGAGCGAGCAAGACGTTTTCCCTTAATTAAAGATGGAGACCGACTTCTTTTTTTTTTTTTATTGTTAAGTACCAATTGGTCATTTTGGAGAACAAAATGAGCTATCCTTAAATCACAAGTCCAAGATTTAGTTAAGGGATACGATTGTAGCTAGCGAAGGCAAAACTCTTCTTTAAAATTACAGAAATCTGACAGCGTAGAATCACACACATAACTAGATATAAGAGCAACACGTTGCTTCGTTACACAATTATGGTGAACAAGATAACACTCAGTTGCGATATCTGAAATACTTTAAAATGCACACCGTTTTTCCCTAAGAATATCGTAGACATTGAGCTCTTGATGAATATCATGAAAAAAAATAGCGCAAAACAACAAGGAAGGAAAGACGAGGTTGACACAAAGCAAAGAAAATTGTGTGTATGTTTATACAGCCAGAAGTTAGTCTACCGCAGTGGGCGTCTGGTCTCTCAACTGTAGATGAGCAATTTAGCCAGTGCGGTACTACCGCTAACCTGGGCCGGTTTGCTCATCTTGCGGCTGCGGCGGCGGCCGCGGCCAAGAGGGATTTTTACGTCAAGTGACCAGCTCCATGGGGACAAGGAAGTACCTAGCGTCCCTGCCTAATGGCGGAGAGATCCGCATCGCCTCCAGCACAAAAGCCTAATGTCGCTCGCAGGAACTGATTGCAGGGACTTTCAACTGGAGTCCAATTGACCGCCCCGTTATACTGTAGGAGCGGCAGGTAAAGTTACGGCCAGGCAGGGTAAATAGGAGCCAAAATAAAGAAAAACCACACGAGATAAACGCGGTAGCAGCATGTTTATCTACCTCGGCCGGCGCCGTCGCCTCCCGCGTTCTGCTATGGTCGGGGAGAAAGAAGAAGACGCTGTTTCGAACGGCCACGTTTTCCATGTTCTCCGGGGAAAATTTATCGGCCGCTGGCCGAGGAAACGTTATGACGTCTGATAACGTTCCAGAAGACTACCGGATAATCCTGCCACGTCTGACATCAGGTAACCTGAGCCTGAATTCCGTTTTCTTGCATGGGGACCTCTTGGCGCGCCCGTATCGAGCTCCTGATTTTCGAGACGCCCTACGTGGCATCGTCGAATTGAAGGACGTTGTGAGCCTCGGACAGTTCCAGATGTGTCACGTCTGGATGCTGACGTGTGTCAACGCTGTTACCAAGGCAAAGCTCGTCGCTCAACGAGAGCTCCGCGTGAAAGACCGAAAGTGCCTCATCATTGACCCGGACAAGCAAGAAGTAAACCTAAAGCTTCTTTGGCTTCCACAGCATCTAGAGGATCGACGAGTTATCGAAGCTCTCGCCCCGTTTGGCAAAGTGCGATCGATCAAGAGAGAAAAATGGAGGTGCAGCGAGCTTGAGCACATGGAGACTCTAAATCGAGAGGTAGTACTGGTATTAGGGGATGGTGTCAATGCCAGTCAGATACCACATCTCCTTCAAGTCTACGGATGCCAGAGCCTCGTCCTTATTCCTGGCCGACCTCCGCTGTGCTTGCGCTGCAACAAAGTGGGACATATTCGACGCTACTGTAGAACACCGAGGTGCTCCAACTGCCGGCGGTATGGTCACCTAACTGAGGAGTGTGTCAACGGCGCCACCTATGCTGGCATGTTACGACAACGTCAAACACACGAAGATGACACTGCGGCGGAGCTCCTAATGGACGTCAGTGAGGTAGCTGACGTCACCGGGGAATTGCCCCCCGTTGAATCGGCCCATCCTTCAGGAGACGCACGGCCCGGGGACAGTACAGACACCCAGCCATCACAAAACATCGACAAGAATGAAGAATTTCCAGTGTTGGAACCTGCAGCATCCCCAAACACCAGCACCACACAGAATGCGCACGCGGAACCTGATGCGACTCCCGCACCGACTGTCTCCATGGCTCCGACTACACCTCAGCACGCAGTTAGCGAGGACGGCCCTTTCTCGAGCAGCAGCCAACCACTCAAGCGACCGGCACCGGTTGTCAATTAAAGAGGCACCTTCGTGTTCAAGCGGGTCCTCAACACTACTCAACCGTGTTGGCGACGGAGACGTCGCCAAAAAGAAGGCATCGGGGTCCCGTGCCAAGCCGAACGCGAAGATAGGAGCTACCTAAAGTGTGGCGAGTGTCGTTCAACGCTGAAATGCGGCCTCTATGAGGACGGATAGAAGCTAAGAATATTCCCCTAAATTTCACAACACTAAACGTCCGAGGTCTAAGATCTCGTGCGAGGCAGGTGCAACTTTGTCGGCTCTTGCAACGTGAGCGGCTGGACATTGTTGCGATTCAGGAGACAAAGATAGAGTCGGAGGAGGCCACAACAAGTGCGCTTCAGCCTTTTCTACACAGGTATGACGTTTGTGTGAGTCACGCTGTGGGACTATCGGCTAGTTGTTTCTTGTTTCTCCGCAAAGACTTGAACTACACCTCGCTCTCGTACACGGTTGACACTGAAGGTCGTTTTATCTGTTGTGACATTTACTTAGAGGGAATTCACTGGCGGCTGATTTGCGTTTATGCCTATAATGACTCTTCTAGTCGACTTTCACTTTTCCAAAATTTAGTTGCTTTTCTTGATACCGACAAATGTATTGTCCTGTTTGGCGACTTTAACTGTGTATGCGAAGCCCACGACCGCTCGACGATCAGTCTGAGACGCGACAACAGCAGTATCGCTCTCGAGAATCTTGTGCGCCAACACTGCCTAAGTGACGTCGGTGCCTCTCGAACGTTCATCAATCGCTTCATGCACCTGCAAAGTTCTGGCCACGCACGCCTTGATAGAATATACGTGTCTAGTTGTTTTTTGGAACACACGTTTGAATATTTGGTAACGCCGGTATCCTTCTCTGACCATTGTGTTGTAAGTGTGAGGCTAGGCGAGAAACGCAAACAAATGTCTAGACCAAAATGGGCGCTGTGGAAGTTAAACAGCAATATCCTTAAAAGCAATGACTTTAATGAGAGACTAATTACCTGTTTTATGGCTATTCGTAGTAATACCGACCTTTCCATTTTGGCACAGTGGGATAGTTTTAAGCAAGAAGCTAAAAACATCGCAATTGAGTGTGCGTGTATTCAGGCATATCTTGAAAAAGCTGACAGGCGTGCACTTACACATAGCCTTCACGAACTGTATGAGCTGGAATGCGAAAAACCAGGTAGTTTTCATGAGGAAATTTGCTTTCTCAAATCTGAGCTCCAACGCCACGAGCTTCAGGGTTACCGAGGAGCGGCTGTGTGATCAAGATGTCAACGCCTTGTATTGGCCGAACAACCTACTAAAAATACTTTAGATGACGAGCGCAGGCACGCCTTAGCTAAAGAAATTCCGGAGTTGCTATGTAACGGCGCTTACTCAAGAAATACCGACAACATTATGACCACATTCACACAACACTATCAAAACTTATTTGGTCAGGTCTCCCCCTCATCAAATGAAGAGTATGCGCCTCTCGTTTCACTGCTGCCCAGCTTGAGTGACGAGGACTCCGAACTATTTACTAGACCGTTTTTTCTCAAAGAGATATGCCAGGCCGTGAGGTCTCTTCCTAGCTCGAAGGCACCTGGACCAGATGGCCTCTCAGCAGAATTTTATAAGCAACACATAGACAGTATATGCCCATTCCTCCTTGAACTTTTCACAGCTTCACTTCAGTATGGCAGGTTACCTCCATCGTTTTATCAAAGTCACACCGTGTTAATACCAAAAAGCTCCGACTCTGACAAATTAAGGACTGTTGAAGGGTATCGTCCAATAGCGCTCTGCAATGTCGATTACAAAATATTTGCCAAAATTCTTACTACCCCTACAAAAATATGTATGGACGTCCTATGTCCATACTTTTGCCGTTCTATTACCTCTTTGTCCATCCTATGGA